TGTCAGCCTCCCCCAGGTCTAAAGGCGTGTGCTGAGACAGCACCCTGTCAAATCCCCACCTCCTGCTCCAGTCCCGACACTTGGTTCTTTCAGCTTCCATTCTGCTGGGACTGGGAGGCACCTGCCCCCATTTCTCTGTTGAAACCCTGGCTGAAGCCCATCCTCACCCATGTTCAGCTCTTCCAGGACACCAGCATTTACCCATTTCCTGCACTCCAGCATCCTCTAATTCAGAGGGCAGGCTGCACGGACAGGTTTGGGGAAGAAGCAATCTCTTTTATTAGACCCAATTATATTGTTGGGGAAAAAACCTGCCAAGCTGCCAGGCACACAAACCCTCCTCGGGTCTGGAGCAGAAGCCCTGTGAGGCCACCACTTCAGATGCTCCATCCTTCAGGGATCAATATCCGCTCCAGCTCAGCAGCATTGCTGTCTTGCTTGCCTTCACATTCTTCCCCAGCATTCAGGCTTTCCTCTGACGCACCCTAAATATTTGCAGCTCCCGCTGCCCACACGCTGCCTGCTCCCGGCTGCAGCAGAACCTTCCCTGACTGCACACGGGAGGTCCTCGGCTGGAGTCTGACGCCTAACGGGTTTGAGCTACCTTCTCTTCTCCAAACGAAAATCTGAATAAAAGGCCACACACTCTAATACTTCTCCAGCAGTATCCAAATTCAGAGCAAACAAAAGCAAATGTTTGCCACAATCCCCAAACAAGAGACATTTGTTCACAAGTCCCTTTTCACCTCAGGACCATGTGTGAACGGAACAGGCAACAGCACCACGGACACGTCAGCAGCAGCATCCCAGAGCATCGTCCGGAGAAGCCGAATCCCCAGCGCCTTCTCGTCCACACGCAGCCCTTTGGGGTTAGCTTTCTTGTTAACGCTGGTCCAAGGAACGGCCTAAAGCACAGTCTTACAAGGTAAGAAATCGTATTATTATTCCTCATAAACTTGAATTAAAATTTGAGCACCTCTTTGCAGCACTAGAGGTTTTGTCCCCCAGCACATTGTAGCACTCGGTCTATATTTAGTTTCGAGCTGCCCTGGCCGGGCATCGATGTGTCCTCAGCCAAGGGAACCGCGCTGGCCGGAGCCGGGGAGGCAGCTCGCAGCGAGTCATTTACACGTTAAGTGGTTCCCCAAATAGAACAACTTCAGCTGTAAACCAGCAGCGGGTTTAATGCTCTCATACACCCAGGGAACTGCTTTCAAGTGTGGGCAAGGTTCATAGCAGCACTCACCTAAACATCAAGAACAGTCAGACCTGCAATAGGCGGGCTTGCAGAAGCCTCACATGACTTAATTCACGCTTAATACGCACTAAGACACTTGGAACCAATACTTAGATGTACAAAGACATGTCCCCACCCGTTCACCGAGTTCCCTTTACCAAAAACCCTCCTGCAGGAAAGGGACCCACCCCACCAGCAAGAGACAGCCATCAGAGTAGGAATTTTTATTTAGTTCAGGTACACAATATTTGTATACAATATCAAAACCTAGTTTAGTCTTTAGAGAACAAGATGTCTAGATGTGAAGCGAGGCCCTATGGCACTGCCTGGATGCTGTGCCTCAGCCACCTGCCTCAGGTGGAGTTAAACTACTCAATATAATAACAACGAACCAAGGAGAGGAGTTGAGACTGAGCAGTCACGTAAAAACAAGTGTTCCCTCTCTGCCTATCAAAGAGAGCGAAGAGGGATGGGATCTCCCTCCTACCACCACATGGATGTGTATCAACACCGGAATCTATCTGAGAAGTTGGGAGACTTCGGCATAGTCAGCGGCTGATCACTGGGCTTCACTTCTACGCTGCGGTATTTGCGTATTGGGTTTGCCTTGTGAACCTGTTAAAAAGAAAAGAAAAAAGAAGAAAATGAAGCAGATGGTTGCAGTGATGAAGCTGAAACTTGCGGGCAAGCTATCAAGTGGGATGAAGGCAGGCGTCTGTCTGCAAGGCCGCTACACTGCCCAGGGCACTGGAGCGAGCCACCAGCACAGGCAAGGCACGCTCCAGCGTTGGGGTTTTACAAAGATCATTCTGCTCCAAAGACTGCAGGGTCCAGCTCCAAAAAAACAAACAAACAAACCAACAACAAAAAAAAAACCAAAAAAAACCCCCAGTCATTTCAGCAGAGCTGCCTTTTTTTTTTATAGACCAGTTATAAAGATAACGAGGAGTCAGTTTGCAACAGGGAAACTTGAGAAGACAATCCCAATGCAGCTCAGGATTGACATTAGCTCATTAAGCACATTCACACATCCCTTTGGGTTTCTTTGCAGCCCTGTTCAGCAATAGCTCACTTACCAGCTCTTGTCTTAGCTTAGCAACTTCTTCCTTTTCGCGCTCCTCTTTCTGCTGTCTGATCTCCTCTTGACGCCTCTCCCTTCTGGCTTCTCTATTTGCCAATCGTTTCTCAAATTCTTGCCGCTCTTTAGCTCTTTTTTCTGTTGCCAGCTCGAAGCCTTCAGGAACTATGGAACCAGAAAGGCTCTCTAAGTTCAGAAATAGAGGAGAGGACATTGGTGCACAGGCAGTCAGGTAAAGCAGAGCAGTTCTAGTGTCAAAGGGAAGCCTCCCTGCGGAGCGCTTCACCCGCAGGGGTGGTTAGTCGGTACCTCCAGGCCTCAGGGACAAGCTCACCCCCAACCGTGAGCGGTGTTAACGCAGGTGCTACCCCGTCCCGGGTGTTCTCACAGAGGGAGCAAGCACACAAGTGTTAGTACAAACACGCTTTTGGCTGGTTCTACACCCTGCGAAGTTTAGTTTCCCCTGGGCTGTAGATGCTTTCATCTCATTAGGGGAGAGGGGAGCAGAGTGACAGCGGCTGCAGGGATGCCAGCTGTCTCTCCGGGGAGCTCCTTCCGTACGTTTACCCTCACCCTAAGCTAGCGCACATCCATCATCAGCCCATCACAGCGTAGCTGTTAAACACAGCTGCCGTGTTAGTGCAGGACAGGGGACAGCGGGGAGGAAACTCCCCCAGTCCCCAGGGACACGAGCTGTTAGTTCATTAAGTGCGTGGCACTATCGGCTGTGCTGATAAAGAAGAGGCAACAGCCAGTCTAAACATTGTTTAATGGCATCAGATCCCAGTTATCGGCCAAGCCTGTGTAGCCAGTACTTGTAACTCCACCTGATAGCAGCTTATTTTCTTTTTTAGGCACGAAAGGCTCCTGGTACACCACTGTGTTGGGACGAGCTTTGAAACATGCCGCCTCTTTCTGCTTTTTCAACTCTTCCTGAAGCTGCAAGAGAAGAGAGCCCATCAAGTGCCCGGTGTAACAAACAGCCTCCTCCCTGCCCAGACTTCAGCGCTCCCAACACAGAAAAGCCAGTTTGACTTCAATCAAATCATTTGCATCAAAAATTATATTAAAGCCAAGAAGTTGTGTCACTTGTTGCCTGCCAGTTACTTTTGCCAAAAATAGCCTGAAGAAAGTTTCCAGTGTCCACTGCAGTCTTCCCATGAGAAAAGCAGTGATGATTTATGTCAACAAATCCCCAGGCACAGAGATGGTCAGCAAAGGGATCCAGCTGCACATAGCTGCTGCTTAGAACATACCCACAGCTGTTCATGAAGTTGGGGTAAATCCATCACTTACCATAAAGGGAAGGAAAAAAAGACCCAATCCACCAATCCTTAACCCACAGCACAAGGCTCATGCCAAGGACAGAATAATTCACTGCTCAAACTCGGATCCTGATTCAGGTCAAGCAGAACACTTTCTGAAGTCGACCTCAACTCCGCTAGCTGCTCTAAGTCTGGTCACAGCTGTTACCCTTTCATCCTACCTGCTGCTTCCAGCTCTGCAGCTTGGCAGCTCCCCGTTCATCTACCTGCAGATTGAAGGGTTCAGCCTTAGTTGGGTTTTTGACCTTTTTTTCTGGCAGCTTAACTTCGTCAAAGTCAGGCAGAAGTTGCGCTTTGAACTTTGGCACCTGAAAGAAACAATTTGAAATATTTCTTGCTCTTTCCTCAAAGGCATGAAGCTTTGGAAGTTTAACAACCAACAGCAAGAGGCAAGTCCTGCCACAGCCTTTATTCTTAAGGAGTGGAATCCAAGGTGGCTTTTAGTTCTTACCTCTTCCTTCTGCAATTCTTCTATTTTTTTCTCTTTTTGTATTTGCCGCTCTCTGTCACGAGCATCGAAAGAAAAGGGGCAAACTTCCACATGCCTCTGCTCCGGCATTTTAGGTTTGAAGGGCACTCCGTAATGTGGCATAGGGTTAGCTTTGATCACAGGGACCACCTCTTTTTCCTAAAGAGATGCCAGTGTTAGGATCTGACATGGCACCAGATTTTTGCAGAAAGCTTACAACTCCTGCCAAACAAAGCCATGAACACTAGGGTTCCTTAAATAAGGGTCACAGCAGCATCAAGCAAACATTCTAGACACTGAAAAAATTAGTAACCCAAAAAGTTCCAATTTATAGGCATCCTGAACCACAGGCAAGTTATTCCTCTTTCCAAACCCCTAGTAGTTCTAGTACTCATCCAAATTAGACTGTAACTCCGTAACATCCTCACAAGATGGAAAGGAGGAAGGACATCAGGCATTCTGAATCCTGCTCCCCACCTCCAGGGATCCAGAGTGCAGGGAGAAGAAAGCTCACGTGCAATGTCTGCCCTGCTCAACAGCAGGATAGGTAAGGGCAACATCCTTCAGAAATCTAAGCACTTGGCTTTCTTCATCATAGCAGCAACAGCTCAAACCCTAGTCAGTGCCCTCATGTTTAAATTATTTCATTTTGTATAAGAATTCCACTTCTGTAAAATGAGTAGCAGCACCTCGATCGGTAGAAGGGAATGGCACAGACAGAGATGACTCCTGGATGAATGGAGCTAACCGACCCAGACTGTCAGAGCCAGCGGGCAGAGGGATGGCAGGCTGGTGAGGGCAGTCACCCTGCTGTTCACAACAGTTACCTTTTCTTCATCTCTGCCAGTTGTTCGGGTTCTGCTTTTCAAGGCGAAGACCGGAGACTTGGGGACTGTAACAGGAAGTGCTTTCTTCTCCGGAACACCCTGTTCAGAAGAGCCAGCAAGGAGTTACCCAAGCCTCAGTGCCAAGAAAAAGCACTCAAGAAACAACCCGACTGAGCACAGTAAGTACTCACTGCAGTTCTTCCCTAATGACAGTCAGTGTTTACTGAAGACTATTAACACAGCAACACAGCTACAGACATTTCGAAGCTAATTGCCACCTCAGTCCTAATTCCCAGGTCTGCATATTACTAGACTTCTTACCACAATGTCCTCGAGGATTTTCGTTGGACACGGCCTGGAATGGAATTCAAAGTGCTCTTCCTCCTGCTGCTTCTTGCTCTCGCGCTCTTGAATCCTTTTTTCTATTTCCAACTCAAAGCCAATGGGTTGCGTGAGTTCCTTCACAGGGGGTTTCTTGGGCAGGAGCGGTCCACCCTCAAAGATTTTGTGATTGAGTTCTCGTGCTTTGAATTTGTACCTACACAGGAAAGACAGAGATAGTCACCAACACATTGCACATGGCAAGATGCAGCTTCTAGCTTCTCCAACCGCACAGAAGAGCAACGGTCAGGTGCAGAAGCAGTTGTGCCACACACATACACACATTACAATGCCAGCTTGACTTAGCAACTCCTCTTTTGCTTACTGAAGCAGCAAGGCATCATGGAAAACCTTACAGATTGCTGTCTTGGTAATCCACAACTTTGTCAGCAGGAGAGTTTTGAAGCGTATGCAGGCTGCCCTGCCATACTGGGTTTGCTTTACATATCACAAGCTGCACTCAGCCCCAGATCAGCATTGGCTACTGTTCACATCCCAACAATCAGAGGCATTCTTGAGAAGCAATGTTTTGGCATTGGAAAGATATTTCCAGTATGGTACAATTCTCTCTTGAAGGACTAGAGTAAATCTTTTCTTACTGTTGAATTTTCTCCATTTCCTCTGCTTCTAACTCTGCTGTAGTTTTGCAGGTGACAGGTCTGAAGCGCTGCTTTGTCAGAAGCACTGGTGTTTTAGGGTTTGTAAGCCGAGCCTTCACCTGCTTTGCTGGAACTGGGCCTATAAGTGCAAGTCACAGAGACCAGCAGTTAATGGTAAGGCCTGCAGCAGTCAAAGCATCGTTCTTGCTCTGCAGTCACCCTCCCGGCTGGACAGGGCCAGGACTGCTCACCTTCATCAGATTTCCTGCTCCTCAGATGGTAACGAGAGGGTGTGCGTTTTTGGAATGCTTCTACTTGCTCAGCAAGCGACACATATTCTGATGTGCTTTCTTCATGTTTTCTTTTGTTTCCCTGGGACAGGTTGAAAGGTTTGGGGACAGTGGGTCCCTTTGGCATTCGCACCTGGAGACAAATAACTATCGTCAGTATGGCCACTGAACACAGGATGATTCGATGACATTTCCTTTCCCAATCAATTCACAGTGTCTGTCCCTTCCCCTTACTGAAAAGAAGGCAACGCTTAACATTAGACTAAGCCTCAGCTGTCTGAACATGCACAGGTTAGTCATACTGGGAAACTGTACGAAGCGGAAGATTAAAGCATGAAGTGCAGTGACTGGAAGACAGGACATCAGAGGGCCCCTTTTTCCCAAAAGTCCTTTAGAGTCTGGTGGCAAGGCAGACACAAAGCGAGCTAAGTTATATTTGCACAACGCCTGCCTCTCCTATGGTAACCCTCTTTGTGGGTGAGCAGCAGCGTGTGTGCTGCAAAAGCAGAAAGAAGGTGACGTCAAGGATGAGTCAGCTGAGTGCTGACAACGCTCTGGTTCTCACCGGGGAGGGAGGATGCTTCCTCAGCACCGCTGCAAAATCCACTTCCTTGTACTCATTGCCAGGCTGGCTTTCCCTGGGTTGTTTAATTCTGTTCTCCGTGCAGAAGTGGAAGTCAATTGGCTTTGTAATTTGACCGACAGTTCTCTTCACAGGTTGTCCTAAAGAAAAAGAGCATGTAAGGTCTGGAAGCTTTTTGGGGTGCAGGGAGGATTTGGTGGGGGGGAAAAGGGGGAATCATTTACTTTCTAATAACATGAACAGCTTTTTGAGGGCTCCTCTATAACCTTTCAAAACATGAGAACAACCAAACAAACCTGTTTCCAGGCAGTTTAGGGACCGATCTACTCTAAAAGCCACCTAATCCTAATACTTATCACAAGATCAGGAGCATTTGTTTTTAAAGGCACTTGTACGGCTCTGCGCAGTGCTCTCCAGCTGAGCCCAGTATAGCTTCAACTCGCAGTTCAGCTAGAGCCCACCTGCTCCAGCAATAGCTGCTTTCAGGGACTCCTCATTCCTCTTCCGCAGCTCCATAACCTCCCGCTGTAACTGCTGCATCTTCTCTAGCTCCTGCTCCTCTGTACTCTTCACCTTGCCAGGAAGATTGGTCCTCCTGCAGAAGCATGTTAAAGACTGAGATGAGTCTTCCTGCTTCACAGCATCTTAGTGCAAAGGAATGCGCTTATCTCTGACTCCGTTGCAGAAACACCATGCATTATAAAAGTATACTCTTTAGAAAAGGTCTGTTTGGATTTTGTTTGCCCAAGAAAGCTGGCAGCTAACTGCTATCCTGCATGCACATTCACTGTATGCACACTTCATTCAGCAGTAAGAACAACTTTTTCCTCAAATTAAAAGCAAAAGCTTTCCTTTGCTCAGGTTCAGCTGGTGAAGTACGTTTCATCCGAACATTTTCCTCTTGATTTGGTGTTTACTAAATGTGATACCATCACATGCTGAGCTGAAGCTGAAAACACTCTCACCAGGGCTGTCTCCTAAATCAACTGTGATTAGCAAAGAGGAGTCACAAGAAAGCTACGTACTTCAACATTGTTGGCGTGGAGGGCATGGTCAGCTTGCTTTTCGCTCTCCCTGGGGAGAGGTCAGGATTCTGCAGGGGTTCTTTCTGTGTGGATACTTCTGTCACCTCCTCTCTGCTCCTAGAGGTAACAAGTTGTTACAGCAAACCACTTCGATAACTGCGCTCTAAATCACCTGCAGGTCTCACCACCACGTGTAACATCCCAACACCTGGTGAGCTCGAAGGTCTGCCAGACCAGCCTTACCTCGCCCCCGGCCCAGGCAGAGATCGTCTAGCTTTCCCTGGTACTCTAAGGCTGTGGAAGGGAAGATGAATTACTGAGTTTTTGGAACTTGGGCTCTTCTTGAGGTAGGTGTGCTGTAGTTCATCTAGGTACAACAGCGTTTCAAAGATCACATTCTGATTTTCCTGCCCTCAAGCTTCTCACCATACGATACCTTGGTGGTTAGGCTAATTTGAGAAGTATTCTAGCTGCGACTCTTTCACAGCTTGTGACTGCCTGATGGCTTCCTGATGGACAAGTTAAGCCAAATTTAAAGCTAGCTGACAGACACCGAGTATGGAATAAGCAGCTTAAGAAACCCAAGCTTATTTCATTCACATCTCCACCTCCAAGTAGAGGGTTTCCTTCAGGTCTTACAGCCATTTCTTCTTGTTTATGAAACCAGCATCAGGAATCAGGTTTCAGTCACCTCCTCCTAACCTTCCTGTGAGAACCCTCGCAGCCAAGTGGAAAGCCTTTCCAAAGAAACAGTCGTATCCCCCTTCCCAGCCCCAAACAGAAGAATTTTGATGGCGTACATTCTCATTTTTTTCAGGGGTGGAACCTCTTCCTTTTTAACCAAGGCATCAGAATTTGTCTCTGCTTTGACTCTAGCTGGCTGCTTGCGTTGCTGTGTTTTCCTTTGCTTTGGAGCCTTTCTTCTACCCGCCCTAGAGTAGAACAGAACATGGACATTAGTTTTCCCACAGGTCTGAGAAGACACACGATCTGTGTAACACTTATTATGCCAGTGCATCGCCTAACTCCAGCAAGCCCCCTGTGCAAACTGTGCATTTAACACAACAATCCAAATGCAGCACGAATTATTTAACAACCCATAAACTTAATATTCATTGGCACACATGAGCATCAGAGCTCCTTGCATTCATATCAAGAATGAGTTCTGCCCAACTCAGGCAGATATAAACAAAGAAACTTTATATGCCACTTCAGTTTCAGATATCCTCACATGCCAGGAGCTCCTACTGCTACTGAGCCTCATTTGACAAGTATGTGAGACACTGCATTACATTTCTACCCCTGGAGATTGTCCCTCCGGCTTAGCAAGCAGCTCAGCTGTCCCCAGTACATGATCTCTGTGCTGGAGAACTTCAGACCCAAGAACAGAACTGCAGATCCCGAGAGCAAGCGACCTGCTTAGTTACACCGTCATCAATCTTCACGCAAGCGAATACAAGTATTTCACCTTTGAGGGGCCTCCGCAGGAGCAGCAGCTCTCCAGCTTGACAGGGATCCAACAATATTCTGAGGAACTGCACTGGCCTGCACATCAACCTGCACTGGTTCTGCTTCAGCATCCTCTGCACCATGGCTTTCACCTGAGGACAGCGACAAACATCAGCTCATATATATACACACATATATATACACACCGACACAGGAATGCTAAAGTGAAACCACACCAGACCTCACTACACAACAATACATGAATACAACCCCACAAAAGCCAGACAGAGGCTTTTCCATTTTGCCAGTGACAAGCAGGTAACATTTATTCTCTCCCCGTGATACCATGCCAGCTTACTCGCTGTTATTCCTTGCGGTGTGACAGAAGACAGAATAATATCAGGCTTGGAAAAAGCAGGGCTGTTCAGGGAGACCTTTGCCAGATTTTCTGCAGGAGGCACGTTCTCCAGATTGGCTTTTTGGTCTGTGAGGAAAGAGAGACTTTCACTGTATGTACTACACTAGAAATTTTTCACAATACCTCAGAATCCCATTACAACGTTAACAAAGTAATCTGTCAGGTTACAGATGACAATCAAAGCTTAAGCACAAAAACAAACCAAGAAAACCCCACGCACGACGAATGAAGCTGTTAACATGCCTAATCCACTGGCACAGAAGCCGGGCCCACAACAAGCATCATGCCAAGCCCCCATCCAAAAAAAATAAAACAAATCCAGGAGCTGGAAACAACTCACCAAACCAGGAGTCTGCATTGTGTACATCGTCATCGCTCAGAGTCGCAAAGTCGATGCAAGGGTTTGGGACGTCAAAGGAATAGCGAGATTCTGGGCGAGACATCTTCACCTTCCCACGGGCCCCCAAGTCCTCCGCTCGCACGGCTACAGTCCTGCGGACAACAAGCATCGGTGACCTGTTATAGCAAACCCCAGCGCAGGTGTCACCTACACCCTTCTCCACCTCTCCTCCTTTGCACGGTTCCTGGAGACAGACACCGCGACAGCCTTTGGGACCCCTTCCTGCCTTTGGACAGGAGCCTCGCAGCAACGTTCATTCTACTGCTGACTGACAAAGCCAAGGAGATTTTACCATGGGTGACATTTGCAGGTTCAAAATCATCAAAAAGATCAAGTTTTGAAGGTTTTCTTTGTACCTGCAGGTGCTAGAACTGGGGTTTTTTTGTTTTTTGGTTTGTTTTTGTTTTTGTGGTTTTTTTTTTTAAAGCTTTTCTGGAGAGGGATCAATTTGCCCTTTGCACAGCAGAGTTCTCACCCTTCCCAGGGCAGATTTGCTGACTCCAGGGCACTGCAAAGCCCAGTCTTTCTCCCTCAAAAGGGCTGCAAACAAGAACTAAGGACACAAACACTCTTCCACAGAATAAATGGATTCCCAAAGCAGGAGGAGAGTTCTGTAGAGTATCGTTACTGGGCAAAAAGTGGGAGGAAGGGCAGCGTAGGGTCCTTGCCACATTCCCCGGCACTGCCCCGATGCTGGCCAGGCTGTAACCAAACCGAGCGCTGTGACCATGTCAGGAGCGGTCCCGGCAGTTAATTAGGGGAGCACTGACAGCAGGAGGAGTCCCTGTGTCAACAGGTGATATTAAACTCAACAGAACAGGAATAAAGCCAGCGACAAACTTATAAACCCTTAAACTGCAACAAAACCTTTTTGCAAAGGTGTTTTCCTGCTCTCATACCACCTCACGCAGCTGCAAGGCAAAGCCCACAAGGGTGTGTTATAAAACACTCCCCAAGGAAATCACCTGAACTTTGCTTTTACGAGTCCAGTCAACTCTAAAGCAGCGGATTCTTAACCCACAAAGTCTCAGACCTAACCTGTCTGTCCAGGCAGACCACACACTGTCCAACTCAGACAGTAGGCTCCAGAAATACGTAAATGTTCCGGGGTAAATCAAAGCAGCCCTGAGGAGACACCACCCCAATCCCCAGCCCTCCATCCTGGAGGTGGCTGCACCCAGAAGCCTGCAGGTCCCCAGCACAGAATTGCAACAGTTAGAGGGAAGAATGTCACGGCAGAAGCGTCAGCTACACGACTGGGAAGATATCAGGGTAAGACCCAAAGAAGGCAAGCGGGAGAATCAGAGCCAAAATCAACTGTAACCGAGCTCAAGACCCGTCTGCAATCGAATGCTTTCCTACCGCCCTTAATCAAGATAGAGTTTCTGTCAACACCATCCCCTTTTTTAAAAATCAAATGCGTCATCTGCATTCTCCCCGCACCCTCCCCAGCCAGCCCAGCAGCCGGAGCTCCAGGCATCGCGTTTCACAGCTACTTGTGCCCGCTGCTCCGCTGCTCCCAGCCCTTCACTGCCCCAAGTCCGTGTTCTCTCGTAGTGTTGGCCCCATCAGCACCCACCTCGCCACCAACCCTTCTCTCTCCCTCCCAGCTGGAAGCAAAGAGAACAGGAGTGCCTCAGTGCCACTGTTTCATACACCAAGTGCCTTGGAAGAGCTGTTGGGGAGGTAAAAGTTATCACGGCTGAACCCCAGAGGGTCCATTTTGGTCAGATGAACTCACAGCATCCACTTTCCAAACCCTGCCGCGTCCCCGAGTCCTGCACAGAGCAGGATTAACTGCGAAGCAGCAGTTCACCACAAGGCATCTCGCTCCTCCACCCACCGGCTCGGGACCGAGCTCCCACCGGGTGGGAAGGTCGCAGTGGCTCGTCGCTCCAGTGTGCCCACTGTGATGGAACCGGGCTCAGCCCAGCACAGCCCGAAGCCCACTGCCCCCTCCCTTCAGGCATTTTAAAACACTTGATCACGATTTTGATGGCAGAAACACCAATATCACAAACTTTTATTTAAAGAGGGGGTGGAAAATTCTTTCCCTTGGCTGCAGCACTCTTCCACCAGAAGCGAGCTGGAAAATACCGTCTCATTAATAGGGACGTTACCTAATGAGCTAGCACCGTGTGCGTCTACCAGGCTGCAGTTACAGGTGCACTGTAATCCTACATAAATCCCCGCCGTAGTTAAAGCGTAACCCTGCTCCCCCCCAACATCCATCACCTTCGGTGTCGACACCAGTGTCCGCAGCGAGCCAGCCGGGGAAGCCTCACCTCTGCGGGATCAGCTTTCACCTGGTTCGCACAGAGCCACTCACAGCACCGCGGCTGCAAGAAAGGAGGATCTGGTCCTCCCGCTGCCAAAACCAGGCCCAATTCCCTGGATAAAAGTGACTGCCTAACTAAAACCTTACTTCTCTTTTTATTTCCACTCCCCTCGCTGGCCCAGACGAGCCTCACACAGCCACAGCCCCGTACGGTTTCCATCCAGAGCAGCATGGATGGATCCACAGAGGGGAACAGACGGCGAACACATCGGGTTCCTTTTGTCTAACCACACTCTGGCATATTCCAGGAGAGTGCCTTGGCCTGGTTGAGATTAGTTAGCCTTGAAAAATGATTAAACTAAATTGGAACAAGCATTCATATCCCAGAATAAGACTGACCCAACAGCAAGTGCAATAGGCATTTCAGAATTACTTCACACCTCGTTCTAATGCCAATTAGCTTTAAAATGCTGACAGGATCCCATCACAGATGCGCTCAGGCTCTTTTTTCTCAAGGTAGTTGTTAATTTCTTGCCAAAAACATTCAGGCAGGACAAGGCTGGAGAGGAGTAACTCCAACAAGACCTACTCAGCGCTGGCCTGGCTGCAGGACGTGAAGCTCAGCACCACACACGCCATCAGGGAGCCCTTCACAATTACGACCTCACCAAAAGAGCCTCTTATTTCGAGAGCAGCAGCCCAGCAGGGATGGTCACCAGGCCATACAAGAACTGCGCCCGCTGCCTGGGATGAAGGACCCTCCCAGCCCTACGAGCCTTTGAGAGAGGAGGTGGAGGTCCAAGATGAGAAATCAGAGGTCAGGAGAGAGAATGGGGGAGGCTGGGTTTGGGGGAACAGCAAGGGGCAGTCAGAAGGAGGGTGCAGAGAAGATCTGCTCTTTCTTGCCGTCTTGCAACGCAATTAGATAAGCCCCCGGTCAACTTGAGCCAACAACTTATCACAATACACCACTGGGGCTTCATACACTACAGATGTCACCTACTCTACCCCTGCCAGGATTGGAAGGGGGAAAAACAGTAACAGACACAATAGGATATTCCGAGTTACATCAGCAGATAAACCTGAAGCCAGTTGATCCACACGCCTCAAAACCCAAGATGGACAATCAGGAATGAACAAGAGAAGCTTCCCTAAGGCTGAAGAAGCTGTACGGGGACATGCTGCAGGAAAAGTGCCTTCTGCTGGGCATTCAACACCAACCACCCTTTATACACAGGACACCACACCAACCACGCAACCTGCTTAATGCAGCCCGGCATCTTCTTTATTCTCCTACAAGCCACAGCCTTCCAGCCCTTTTCCAGGGCCAATAATCCAAAGTTCCCGGATGGTTTTCAGGAGTTAATATGTAAATTGGACCATCACAAAGGGCTGGAAACCACGCCTCTAGGGATGCAGCCCCATCAGCACAACCTCTAGGAAGCTGTCCCACCACATGAACTCCTTCAGCATGATGCCAGCAATCAGTAACTGGAGCAATCCTTGCTTTTCCCTGAGTGGGGTTAAGTGAATACTTTTTAAAAATTCTGGATCTACAGCTTCTTCTCTGGTGCTTCTCACTCACTGCTTTTCCACAGCACAGAGCCAACACTGAACTCATCATCCGGGGTACAGAGCAGAGGGAACGCGGCTGCTCCATCACATAATGGTCAAACTGGGAGACAAAGCCCCTTACGCAGGCGAGATACGAGCACGCAGAGAGCTCCGCAGAGCCGCCCGACCTGCTCTCCTCAGCCTGCAGCCAGAGGAGGAGCGAGGCAGCAGCGGCTAACGGCGGCCGGGCGTGCCTCCCTCCCTACAGCCCAAAATAAACAGCCCTGACATCTCACGCCCCGTAAACCAGATCCCTCAAGTTTTACAAGACACGAAGATGGGACATTCTAAGAATAGCTGTTCAAGGAAAAGTAAATTATTTTTAGCTAGTATAACCTCAACTTATTGTTAGAGAAGTTGAAACTCCTCTAGTTTATAACAGCACTGACGGGAAGAGCCAACTGCGGGCGCCTCCTGCTCGAGCCAGGGCTCGCCTGGGTTTCTTCCCTCCGCTTCCCAGGAAGCAGGATTTGGTTTGAGAAGAAACAACACAGTTTTTCTTCACTCCAAAATGAAAACTTACACCGTAGGTTTTGCACGCTGGGT